TCTGTAGCCTGGTAAATACCAGTGGGAAAGATTGGTGCCACAAAAGTCTGTAGCCTGGTAAATACCAACAAGAAAGATTGGTGCCACAAAAGTCTGTAGCCTGGTAAATACCAACAAGAAAGATTGGTGCCACAAAAGTCTGTAGCCTGGTAAATACCAACAAGAAAGATTGGTGCCACAAAAGTCTGTAGCCTGGTAAATACCAACAAGAAAGATTGGTGCCACAAAAGTCTGTAGCCTGGTAAATACCAGCCAGAAAGATTGGTGCCACAAAAGTCTGTAGCCTGGTAAATACCAGTGGGAAAGATTGGTGCCACAAAAGTCTGTAGCCTGGTAAATACCAACAAGAAAGATTGGTGCCACAAAAGTCTGTAGCCTGGTAAATACCAGCCAGAAAGATTGGTGCCACAAAAGTCTGTAGCCTGGTAAATACCAACAAGAAAGATTGGTGCCACAAAAGTCTGTAGCCTGGTAAATACCAGTGGGAAAGATTGGTGCCACAGATTATGACAATAACATTAAGAAGATTTTGTTCCTTCAATGTCACTATTGCCTTATTAAATCATATACTCTGGTGTATTTGTAGTATAATGATATTAAGATGTCAATTTCATGAATGTCATTGGATATGTAGGCAACTGTACTCTTCACACCATTATCAGTGCAGGACTGCACTTAAGTATTTTGACTGAACTGGCATAAAGTTTTGTTTTGATCAGTGTGAAGTCTGTCTCTTTGTGTATTAATGCAAGACGAGACGGAATTCCTGAAAAAGTAAATGAAATTCTTATTTAAGAAAAATTGATGAATTAACAAAATATTGGCAAAAGAAATATTTGCATGGAAAGCGTCATGAAAGTAAAGGAGAATAAGACCAGGATTGGTTTTCCAGAATGGTAAGAGTGATCTGCTTCTTCGCCAATCCATATTAGTCAGGTTGCATTCTCCAACGACGGTAACACTAACTACAACCAAGGTTAGGAACGTTTTGTGAGTTGTCACTATGTAAGTCACTGATAATAGTTTTGCGAAGGCAGATTTCCATTTTATTCACTGTTATAATCAGTTGAAATAAATTATCTGAGTCAGCAGACATTTTGAAATGATAAGTATTCATAGATCACTATCCACTCAGTGTGTTCCATTCTTTATCAGTGAGTTACCAGTGTTATTGATTGATAATGAACGATTATATAGTAAACAAAATATTTTGAAATATCTATCGATTTTAGTTAGTAGAATATATAGTTGAAATTATCAGTGTGTACCTTTGGATACGTCACAATTTAACAATGGATACGTCTCCTCATTTTTAGTACCTTAGGAGTAAAATTTTCTGTGTTAAATTGTGTCCTGTCCGAGAGGGTGAAACAGGTCGACAACAATAAAATTAGGAACCATACCTCTTCACCTGTTGTGATTGGTGTCTGTGTTTTTTGGATTCAATTGTTAATATCTTGCATGTAACAGAGAGGAAAATTCAAACTGGTCCAAATCTTTGTCAGTGATCATATGTAGAGATACTCATGACCTCCATGCAAAATTCAATAAATATTATTTTCGAGATTGTTCGAAGTCTCACCATTATTATTATTTCCAACAGAACATAAATTGCATGTGGACATTCTGAACCATACCACTAAAAGAATTAATTTAATTGAAACATTAATTAAAACGAATTAAATGAAAAAATACCATTGTGTAACCAATTCTTAAAACAAACTGATATAGCAGCACAACTTTGTAGCTATTACATCAGGTTTTTTGCACACACAGCTAGCCTCATGTCGTATATGTCATGTTAAGCCAGCTTTTTTACTACAAGTCCATTTCCAATAAACCAACTTGATTTACTGATAAACAAAGTCATAGTTTGGTCGCACACTTGTCATCTTTTAAAAAAAAGAAAGTCTTTTCACAATGTCATTTAAACGTTTCCCTAAAACACCATAATCAAAATAAAAATTATATGTGATGTAAGGATATATGTTGATAAAGAAATTGGCAGCAATTGCTAGATTTGTTCTGCAGATGTAGTATTTGTATACTACGTCAGGTTGACAGTACTGAAAATGTCGCTGTGCTTATGTGATTTAGTACTGATCTGTATGTAGACAAAAGGGAGCAGATATTGACATTGTCAGCAGGGTGTACATTACATTGTACACATGTCAGATTCTAATACCAATGGATTACGATCTTCCGCCAGGCCTATCCACCCTCTGTGATTTTATATAGTTTATACTAATACATATCAGAAAGGGTATAATGGTTCTTTGTGAGAATACATAGTTGCAAAGTGATTCTATATATTGATCATGCGTAGGTTTAGCAGACATGACACAAAGTGTATTATTTCTAATGAACAAATATAATGATGATTTGTATGACTCTGTTGCATTTGATTGGCAGTACATGTGACAGCGGCTGTTTTGATACATATGATCTTCTTGATGCACCGATAACTAACAAATGAATGGGAAGTGATTTTACGTAAACAACACTATTCTTGAGCACCTGTTCTCCAGAACATATGTCTTATTATTTTGGTACTGTTTGAGGAATATTTTTTTTTTTTTTCCTTGTATGCACATGGTACTAAATAATAGACGAGTACGTGTTTCCTGGAGATACATTTTCCATGGAAAAATTAGTTTCTACGGAAAATCATTTTTTCCATGGAAAAAATAAATTCCATTGACAAAATGGGTATTTTCCATGGAAAATACACATAAAAATAAATTCCATCAATATAATGGGTATTTTCCATGGAAAATACACAGACAAAATAAATTCCATCGACAAAATGGTTATTTTCCATGGAAAATACACAGACAAAATAAATTCCATCGACAAAATGGTTATTTTCCATGGAAAATACACAGACAAAATAAATTCCATCAATATAATGGGTATTTTCCATGGAAAATACACAGACAAAATAAATTCCATCGACACTGTCCACGGAGAAGCCATGGACTTAATATACAATGTCTATGAAATGGAAATCATTGAAAATGTACAGCCAGGTTGTTAGGTTAGTCGATGATGTAGTATAATTTATGAAATTGAAAAAAGGTTTGTGTTGAAATTAAACAACTAATTGCAACCATTCATTCAAAGATAATGTGAACATCAAAGTGTTGACACTGAAGATGAATGACTGTTTGAATATATTACATAATATGTATATACAAATTGTATAAATCTACCAGGCTGGTTTAACGCTAGGTAGACTTTAATTCTAGTGTATATTTATGATTAAATGTATATATACAACAAAGAAGATGTTTCTTAAGTTGAGGAAGTTCGTGGCTGCTGCAATACACAATAACATACATTCAGTTCATTTACATATATTACTTTGGCCTGTCGATCCATCAGATTTACCTGATATATATTACATAATTTTATGACTTATATTTTCCATTCATACACATAGATAGGAATGTCATGTTGTTTCGTATATGGATAACATAATTTTAATGTTTGAGTATGATCATGAACACAGAAATTTCTGTATAGGTGTACCTTATATATACTGAGAGGGAAAAGAAACACAATAAGCAGAAAGTTAATATTGTAAATTAAATCCTTGACGTACACCCTTGAAACTTTTCGCTTTACCGGGCAGACAGCTGACATCATGTCTATAGACGTACCCACGAGCGCTATGCAGATGCTTGCGTGATGGAGAATGACCGCTTTGGAGGAGGATCGGTCATGGAATGGGGAGGGATGGTGCATGGTATCAAGACTCCTCTGGTCGTTATTCAGGGAAATCTCATGGCCATCTGCTATAGAGATCAAGTCCTAGCACCGCATGTTGTTCCTCTAGTCCAGCAGTGTCAACTGAAGTTTCAGCAGGACAACACTCGGCTGCATGTAGTGAGGGTTTGCTGTGGTTATCTCACAGCAAACAATGTCCCCACCCTAGACTGGCCCCCATACAGCCCTGAACGCTCCCCAATAGAACATTTATGGGACAAGTTGGACATAAGGATAAGACGTAGGCGAAATCCTCTAATCAACGTCTCTCGGTTGGCGTTGGCGCTGGATGAGGAATGGAATCATATACCAATGAGGAGGGTTAATACCCTGATCAATTCAATGCACAAAAGAGTTCGGGCAGTTACTGCAGCTCGTGTGGGCACACACGATATTGATGGGTCCAGAACGCAATTCATTTTGAGTTGGGTACTCTTGAATCAAAGTCAAATTTGAAAGGTTTACTTAACATACACAAAATATAATTACATTCTAAAACCCTTTTCTATTTCCTGTAGTTTACCTGGAAATTCCTAATTACGTTTCTTTTTTCCTCTCAGTATATATGTACAGGTGTACCTTATATACATGTACAGGTGTACCTCATATACATGTACAGGTGTACCTTATATGTACAGGTGACTTTATATACATGTACAGTTGTAACTTATATGTACAGGTGTCAAATTGATCCTCTCTATGGATGTATTCACCATGATGGATTTCTCTGTAAGTTAATGATCTAGATTGAGTCGTGCATGGGTGATGTCTGCTGAAACACTATAAAATCACTTGACTAGCTCAATAATGGCGTTTTTGTACAATATACGTATGTTTTTTCTATAATATTTTGTACTTACTATATATATATTTGATGTGAAAACATTACTTTATGCTATGTGTGTTTTTGTTTTTCATAAAAAAGGCAGCCCATCACAGCTAGCTCATCATCACTTGATTTTATAAAATTATAATGTACAGTGTACTGCAGTATTCAGGAGTGAATTTTGGTTTAAAATTCTGGCAAAGGCAATTAGATGACGGTTGGGTAATCCACAAAATATCGTATACATGATTTGTACATTTTATTTTCTATTGTTTGACTATGTACCTATACATCTCATTGAATACATCACTTTAAAGTTTGAATTGTCAATACTAGTGTGATTGTTGACATTTCAGAATAGTATTTAAGAACTATTGAACATGTTCTGTATTAATTGATCACACAGGGCGTGGAGACTGCCAAGGTAAGTGTGAATGGTTGGGAGTATATATCATCTATCTTCCTCATATATACAGCCTGTTACCTTTACCGGAACAATGACAATCCTCAACCTTTTTTCAAACATGTCATTCTAGGAAACTACGTAGAGAATATTCGTAATCATTGTATAGTATGGACTCTGTATAATAAATCATCATATTGCTTGAATTTTATCGTATATCAAATGTATTTTGCTGTTTAAAAACAAATGAAAATCTTGCATAATAAAATCAAGACGAAGTATTTGTGCCCACTGCTCTTATGTAAATTACCAAAATAATACCGGAATTTAATATATGATCTTGTCAAAATGCCAGTTTTTCCTTTATCTACAAAAAAATTATATCAATCATTACAGTGTTAGGTAATCTGTCTCACTGCCAATGATAATACACTAATGTACTTTAGTTATTCATTGGTCCTCCATAGATCCTTGAATGTGATTTTTGACAAAAAGGTTGTTACTTTTATTGCCTTTCGATAACAGAAATGTTTTCTTTGACATATACAGGGAGAAAATTTGTGATCCGATTTATCTTTCCTTCCTTAACCCAAACGTAGATTTGTAGCATAGAAAGAGAATCATCTCCCAATCCTTTCCATTCCCTGATCTACTTTCCTGTAGACTAGACTCATTTTTACATATAACGGACACAGCGTATTCACATGTATACTGTAATCAAATGTTGATATAAAACTTTATTTTTTATTATGATTTCTATACATATATTTTTTTTTCTTAACAAAAACAATTAGTAATTATGAAACTGTTTAGTCTAAGGTTTGTTTATGATCCTCGTCTAGAACCGCAGGTCATGTATTAAATGACACCAATGGAAGTTTTACTAGACGAGTGAATGAGCTACATATGTAATAACGCGCGGCAAAATGATTTATAAAGTATTCTGTAGCACAAAAATTGTGGAATTTAGACAGAACATTCTTCATATGAAAGTAAATATGTCGAGTAATCCAACCTTGACCAGTTTTTTTTAACGATAACATTTACACGATATGACTTTCTAAGGAATGTTTATGTAACTCTGTTTCCCAGAGGAAGGGTACGACGATGTGGTTGTAAGGTAGAGATATTTTGTTTTTTCATCTCAAACATATATCATGCTTCAGATTTTTGCTATAGTTTATAGATTTTCTTGTAAAATGTCATGAACTAATAAGATGTAAATACTATTAGCGATGGAAGAAGACCAATAAAGAAGAATATCTGTCTTTGGCAGGATCTGACGTATGTTTGTGTCTTTTTAAAGAGAATGCATGATCTCACGTGATAACGGTTTTTTGATGTGAAAAACTGATTTAAACTACATAATTATTATTATCAAATTGTAGTTTCTATCATGATATCTAAAGATAGTGATCCCATCTTCATCTCATCCTAATATTAAACAAATATCAAATCATATTTATACGATTCGGAAAGAAAAAAGGATAGCTTATGCTTAAAGATATTCCAAAAGTTTACAACCTGTATAATTTCAGTTTCGAAAAAAGGTAAAACAGCAACGTAATCTATGTTGTAATCATATTGGTGTGGGGTTTTCATCAGTATTTTAGAAGGGTTATATCAATGCCGGAAATTTGCGATTTGTGTTTTTAAGAACTAATTTATAATATTGTTAATTGAATGGCATACAACATGCTTGTGATCTGGCTTAATCTCTTGTTATGTACTAAACGGTAATGGTATTTTATATGGATTTCATTGCGCGTAAAGCGATTATCAGTGAATTTCAACAAATTTATTGAAGTGCTAACAAAGTGTTATTTGTGTGATATTTCAAAGTATGTTTCTCATATACTGTAGATCTCTCTAACTATGATGTAGGTGCTGTTTGAAATTACAGACATATACATGTTGCATTGTTCTATAATTTTGATACAAATTAATGTATAAGTTTGATCTTTTTGAACCATTTTATTGATAATATATCCCACTCGGTTCTTTATGATATACAGATACATGTATATTTGTATCATTGATATAGAAACAAGTATGTGTTTCTTTTTTGTGTCTCTCTTCTCTCACATTTTCATATAAAATTGAAAAAGGTTTACATGTTCTATATCCAGCAATTGTGTTGTTGAGTTTCCTTTTTCATCTTGATTATGTTTTATTAGTAAGGAACTCTATCAAATCCCTAGGATCCGACCGAAGATACTACCGCAAAGTTCTACATTAGGAGTGTTGGATCACCCATTATTTATTATGTTCTATATTTAAAATACAGAATATACCATTTATATAAACTACTGAAATTGATAACTCAATTTGATTATGATTTTTGCGAAACTCACTGTTTCTCGACTGTAACAGCTTTCCTCTTCCCTGTACCTTTCATTATTTGATATTAGAGTACACAAACTTAACATGATGGGATATTTTTAAATAGTTCAAATCTCCATTTATCTCCATAGATCAGGATTTGCATTTGATCGGTCCTATAGAAAAAGTTTGTAAAGTAATTGAAGAGAGTGGTAATTTGTGACATATTTAACAGCCATTTTATTCGAGCACTTTTGCATTATTTCTTTGGTGTTCCATTCTTTAGTAATGTAGAGCACCAACATAAAGTGTTAAGTGAATTAAGTCATAGTTAACGATAATCAAAGGGAATTATAAGGAGATATGGAGAATAAGTGATATATTGGATTTCTTTCAAATTATTTTCGTGGGGATGGTATTTTCGCAATATTACTTACATTGACATGACCACGAAAATGTAATCCATGAAATAACAGGACTCATGTTTTAGATGTTTTTCATATTCAGATCTCAAAACTGAAATACAGTTCAATCGTATTATTTGAAAATTGCGAAAATTTTGCCCGTGAGAATTACCAGCAATACCGTAACTGATAAGGATGTTTGTTGATGGTACCGATATCAACAATGGTATGAGGATAGATATATTTTGATATTCATGTTAAGTGACCCGCACAGAGATCTCTACAGATATTGCAACAATATCAAGAAAATTGCAAATTTAGAAGAGCAGATATGGTGTTAAATTGTTATCTGTTCTGTGATAGGATGGTACTAGGAGTGCTTTCTGATACAAAACATATGTCAATGTTGTATTTATCTATAAAAGTGTATTTGCACATGTTTTAGATCATAGTTGCTTCAAGTCACATCCTGAGAATGAAGTTTATATTTTATAGTCAAGCGAAACAGTCAGGAGGAGACAACTCTGTACAGACTAGCACCACCTCCAGAACACTAGATACGCTTGCCTGTGTAGCGGCAGAGAAGCAAGTGAGTATATCAGATTGTCAAAAAAATAAATCATTTTCTTCTTACATTATTAATAACATTGATAGTAAGAAATGAAAAGTTGTTTTTTCAGACAGAATTATTTTTGCTTGATTTGATATTTAACAGCTAGTAATTCATGGCAGCTTTGTTTTGATGTATTTTTTATTTAATGCAAAAACGACTGATCTATTGGAAATGATAATCCATTTTCTTTTCACGTATCCTGAGAATTTTGATGTTTTAGAATTAAATATATTTATAGTGGTTTCATGTATGCAGTCTTGAAGTGAAGAGAATGGCTTTATAAATTTAAGAAAAAGAAGGTGAAGTGATTTGTTAAATTGTGTTTTTGCATGGGATGAATCATTGACGTGCATTATACCACACTCTAGATCAGGTTTGTGCTAGCGTATTATTGAAACAACATAAAGCTCTTTGAATATAAATCACAATCATATTATAGCAAACTTCTTTTAGATTGATATCACGTTCAGTGATGGCATATATTTCCATCAGTGGCTGGTTTTGCCCTTGACATTAAATGTCATTCAGTTTTGACCATAGGTTCCTCAGAAAAAAGTGATGATGAATATATTTGAACAAGTTTTGTTTTTATAGGACCATGTAGTATCAAATTGGTCAGCACAGCTTCCGTTTTCTACACGTTATATTCTAAGCATGTTGATCACCATGTCACTTGCGCTCTGTTTCATTCACAGTTGTATTGACTGCATGGTTTCTTTGTTATATTCCTCTTACTTTCTTGATGCAATGCAAAAGCATATTGGTAATTCGGGTTAAAAAGTACTTGTTACGTTGATTGATAGAATGTTTGGTACATTCGTGTGATATATAAAGCCAATTTACCAATCAGAAATTAAATTTGAAACATATTTGTAAAACTAACCGAAGGTTTTGTACATGCTAAATTTATAACACGCTCGATACATAGGCACAAACGCATATAGGGACAATCAGCTCATCACAAACTCTTGTCAATTTCCTTAGCGACGCCCATTCAGCACATTTACCAATATTAGAACTCTTGGGCACGTTTTTCTGGATGTGAGACCGTCTTCAGTGAGAGGACGCACTATTGTACGTCCAGCAACAAGTTTCTCTGTAAATGGTCGAAGTTGTAACAGATCTAAGAGTGAAGTATGATTCCTATAGAATTCTATATATTAGACTTGAGTATATTCACCTTAGTTTAGACGTGTTACAGGCAGACCAGAAGTATTTAATAGAAATTAGAGAGGGATATTTTTACCACAATAAATGATCCCTTATCAACACATCATCTTGGTTTGTAACGGATGGCAGTAGTGGTCTTTTCATTTACTCAAATTTTCGTTTAAACACAGAAACACGATACTATTTCAATCCAGATAGATTCAATTAAAATACAAGTAATTATTATAGTAAATTTGGACATGAACCATCATTAAAACTTTCACATTCATAAAAAAGAGAAATCTATATTTGATTAACGTCATTGGTTTCAATGACGCGATTGGAATTAGGTAATGTTTCGGTAGATGATTTGTTATTGTAAGAAATTTGAATGCATGACATTATGATCAAGTCTTGTAGAGTATTTTTCATCTGTTTTATTGATTCCATCAAAACTTTACGAGATGATCCGTACATCCGATTCATATGCCCTTCATTCGTGCTATGGGAAAATGGTATGATGTTATCATTTTGTCTTTGCATGTACCGTAATATTTATTAATTTTGTAACAATAGTAACTAAATTCAAAAGAAACTTTTTGATATAAATTGAAATTTGCAACAGTAAACATTTTAACACAACAAACCAATATAGGAAACAATGGGATATGTTAACATATTCAGTAATTTCTTGGTCGGCCTGTGTGTAATTGCACCCTGAGATTTCTCTCTTTCCTCTTTGATCTGATCTAAGAAATATAAGGTTTATCAGACCTGACTACATCTGTTTATTTATGTCGAAACCTATTCAAGCATGTCTTTTTTCTATAGAGATGAATACAACATCGGGTTCCGTAGATGTGATTGGTTTCGCTTCTTCTTGAGCTTTCTACATTTCAAATAGCTTTTCCTTAACTGTATTCTTAACCACAGAAACGCATGACTTTCTTTTTTATCTGTCAATATGTGATGCTCAAGTTACTGATCAGGGATACAATAAAGTAAAATACTGGGAGTAATGAAAGGTGATCCTAGTTATATGATGAAAATATTTGTTAGTAGTGAAAGGTGATCCTAGTTATATGATAAAAATACTTGTTAGGAGTAATGAAAGGTGATCCTAGTTATATGATAAAAAATACTCGTTAGGAGTAGTGAAAGGTGATCCTAGTTATATTTGATAAAATTACTTGTTAGGGGTAGTGAAAGGTGATCCTAGTTATATATGATAAAAATACTTGTTAGGGGTAGTGAAAGGTGATCCTAAATATACCCCTTGGGTAGTAATACAGGACGATAACACAACGATTTATCATAATTGCTGATTCGATTCTGCTTTTTCGCATGCTTAGTAGAAAATATCTATAGTTCTTTACTTGCCGTTGATTACCCAATTTAGGATTAACTAGAAAAGTGAAACCGTATGAAATATTATTATTTTCAATTTCAGAAGACCATTTCTGATAATACATTTTTCTATATGATAAAGATGTTTTCATTCTGAAATTTCAGAATCCGATCATCACTTCTCGTCTGAAACGCCAAGTGCTAGTTAGATTTCATTTTTACTTTTTACTTTTTTTCGCACTGGTGAAGGGGTGTTCACATAGAATTAATGGGCTGCGGAATTTCTTTGTCTTTTGTTAGGGTTATGATGTTTTAATTAACTTTAGTAAGGGATAAACTGATGCATTGATCATAAGATGTTGGTGACATTATTGAAGTGATCATTTCTTTGATGTTGTCCTATTATATTGAAATACTGTATCTTTATTTAGTAGTAAAGAAAAAATAATAATCTTTGTTATCTCCAAGTTACATGCAATAGACACAAATTTTAGGATAAATGTAACACAGTCACGGTTTCAGTCAATTACTTCCAATTCTAGCTTTCTAACATATGGAAATATTCCGAGGATTTACCAGTGACAACCTAGCGGTAGTCGTATGCTATGAACAATGTGGCTATCTTTCAAAACAGTGTCATGCATGCATACTGACGCTTTGAGACAATCAAGTATTATACTAAAAACTAGACTAGTGTTCATGAAAATATTCAGAATGAGATTTGCGTCAAAGTTTCCTTTCATGTACTGCTGTCAAATTGCGCGTGCCAGGTGATACAAAGTGAATCCCCAACTCTGTATTGCATGCGGAGTACGAAATGTAAAGAGAAACAGTCCTTCACTACACATTTTGATAAGATAATTGCGCAAAGACTATCCTTATGACGCATAGTTAATTATAAGATTTGTAGATATGCTTCGTAACACTAATGGGACTGATTTTAATAATTAATAAATCTGTTGCCATCAGACCCAATACAGATTACACATACTAATATGTCAACACCAACTTTTGCTAATACATAAGCAGACAAGTGTACATGGATTTTCCGTTGTGATATCCAAAGTAATAGAGAATAAAACGGATCCTGTTATTTCTTAACAGCCGAAAATTTAAGTGTTTCAAAAGATAGTCATAGATAATCAACATATTTTCCAATGATCGCTAATTTCCCATTTTGCTAGTTGCTATCACGTTTTTAAACAGTAAATCTTAATTTTGAATGATGTTGACTCGCCTAGTTTGCATTGATATAAGTGGTGAAACATTTATTTACTTTCATCAATTAAAAAAGAGAAAATCCTATAGCTACGTAATATGTGCATTCCCCACTTTAAACCTTTAATTTTCCATAAAAATTGCGCACTTTAAGCACGGATTTGTACGGTAGCAGAATAACTATCTATAATGTGTTGTAAACTTTTGTTCCGGGTTCAATAAACAATACCAATGCCAGTGGCAAAATCTTGATTTAAAACTTAAAATTGTTTCCGTGAATTGTACATTTTGAACAAATTTGACCGATTTGATGGAAAATGTATTCAAAATTTCAAATTTTCCCGTTTATAGTGATCACCAGTAAAAGTGTTTTGATTGATTTGAATGTGATGGATTGTATCTCAAGTTTACAAATATAAATATATATGTGATATCAAAAAGTTAAGCCTCTCGGTGATTTCAGTACTTTGATTCTACTTTATATTTGTACTGCATTTTGTTCATGAAAATAAGTTGTAAAACTTAGTTTCAAATACAAGCTAAATGGACGACTCTAATAGCGCTTTGATATCGAGTGCAAGACATGAACTGTATAAAAATATATCCTCCGATGTTTTGAAAATTCTATGTATTTTGTAGTGATGTTTGTCTAATACATATAACCAACAACAGTGTCATCTTCACAATTGTCAGGGCTATTACTACGAATATCCTATGTCCCCCCATATGACCTTTGCGCCAGACAATATGGACGGCAAGAGCGATATTAGTTTAAGTAGACTTTCAACAACATGTCTTGGAGCAGAAATGAGGGTGCGGATGAACGAAAAGCTGGAGCCGTCATGCACATTTCATCTCTTCCCTTCAGAAACAGTAATAGACGCACCACCCATTATACTGAATACGGCAAAACCTGTTCTTTGGAACCCCGCCATTTCTTCGCCTGGGCAACGAAGGGACAATCAACGAGAGACAGTAATTTCATCTCCATTTAAGGGCTATGTCAAAGTTATAGATCCATGTGGTGATTACAAATCAAAGTTGAAGCTCGTTTTAGATAAAGAGGAAACAGAAAAGGTTGATTTTCCCTTGATCAAATCAAAGAATGGTATGCTAGTTGCTACGGATATAAATTTAAGTGATCAAGCAAAATTCAAAACGGAAGCTAATCCGCAGACAAGTCAGGAGCAACATATGGTTTCAGAGAGGAAAATAGCTAGTGCCTCTTACGAGAAAACGAGTAAATTGTTCTGTACAAAAAATTTGAGGAGTAGGTTTGCCGGATACATCAAGGGAAAGAAAACTCGAGCTAGCGCCTTGCGGAAATCTGCGAATGCGGTTTCCAACAGGAATGCATTTTCTGCGAGAGTTGCGCGGCCAGATCGGAATGACGTTCCAAAGAGTCATAACGGGGATGCTGTCGATTGTGAATTAAATCACTGGACAGAGGAATCAGAAGAAACCGAAGCCTCGCCTCGAAATGCTGTGGCCGTTTCCACTGTCGAAAGTAATGAAAGTATGAAGAGGGTAGCAGAGTATATTCTTAGAGAATCAAGTGGTGTAGGAAATAACATAACACATCAAGATAACAGCTCCGATTCGAACACACCAAGACATGGGGTATACAGCATTTCGTGACCTTCAAAGTGACCTAACAACTTCATTTGCGAAGTCATACACGATTTTTTATTCTTGTTTTCCATTCACTTACTAATGTGACCCAATAAAACATTGAATGATATTGTCCCATTTGTGTTTGTGAAACATACCTACTGTTAAAATTAAAATCAAGCAGAGAGACATAGCAAATATCCCCACAGTATATGCTTCTACTTGAAAGAACTACGATATTTTCACAATGACATTGATTAGAATGTCTGGTAGTTTAGCAGCTTCTTTAAGCGTAATACGGAATTACATTATACGAGACTTACTCAATCATTTATATCAAATATTGAACAAAAACACATAAATGAAAAAGTCAAATACGGTCACTGTCATAGCAATAATGAATACTTGAGGTATTTTTTCTTCCTTTCGTTTTTACTTTACTTCACCCCAGACTCCCTACAAGGGCTCCGCCCCTTGACCCTTTCTTGAAATCATACACTTCTGATAACTTTCCTTCGCTTTGGACAGTAGAGCCATACAATCATAGAACTGTTTTGACTCAGTGACACTAAGGTTCGAAATGAAGATGAGCACCGAAATCTCTGAAAGGCCTATGCTGGAATTTCCCGTATATCTATCTTTGAACGTTCATCCCCTTATTTTGCTTGACAACTAGGAGTTTATTTGAATACATGTATTTCCATATTGATACACCCATTTTTTTTACCAACGTACAATTGAGCTCATTGTAAGTCAGCTTACTTCTTTATCACACCGTGTGAACCCTTGATCCCATCACCTGTTTTGGGTTTATTTTACAACCACTTTGTCACGTGAAATCCTTTGCAATTTTACATTTCTCAATTATATTTTCACTAATCTTGGCATTTTTTTTTATCTGCAATAGCTTTTTACAGCGTTCTGAAAAAAAAGATGAACTAATGATTTTGTGTGGAGTGTTTGTGTACTTTGTTTAAATGCATGTTAGAATATTTATTATAGTTCTAGAATATCAAATTATTATTTTGTTCGTTATGCGAAATGCATTTCTTTGGTACATATTTACTACAATCATTTCCAAATAGAAGTTTTGAATTGAGACTAGAAATGATTATTTTTATAACATTATTTAACATTGTAGCCAGATTTCCATACATTCCATTAGTTTTTCATTGACTGATTCATATAATCCACGTGAAATATATATAACCAGATTTCTTTATGAAATAGTTCAATATGTTTACTACTTTAACTGATCTGTTTTCAATAAGTTCCGTAATATGAAGATTTGATATCACAATTCTGTTTCTGTTTTGTTTTGAAGTTTGCTGTGTTTAGATGATTTATTTTGGTTTTTTAATATTTTTGTGTGATCTATTGACATTCATGATGCCTACTTTTCAGATGTGGTTTGATTCTACAGGACGAGCTTATGTGAGCCTTGCCGCTCGCTACGATCCTCTCAAGAAATGATCATTTATTGTATTGAATCATCAAGGTATATGCACATAACCCCATTCGTTATGTATCCCGTTGCAGCTTTCTGTAGACTTTCCTGTTATATCATAATATCCATTCTTCAATCCCTTTCATTATGGCAGCATGACGCTTATTCCAATATATTTTGTCCTTTAACGTCATTTCCAGTTTTCATTTCTTTCCTTGTTCATAATATTGTAAGTGGCAATTTCACAGTTTGTGTTATGGATTAAGTTATGTTCATGTTGACACTGCAGTCGAGTAGGCAAATATTCCATAGCCACTTCTAATTAAAGAGATATTCCGAACAAGTAAGGATTTCCTGGTAGGCTCGTGAAGAAAACTGCATAAAATCATTTACATAAGTTCTTAAGGAAATCGTACTCTTCAATTTACCTTTTAAAAAAAACAAGATATTTAATTTGCGGAAGTTCTATGATTAATCTAGAGCATTTTTCAAACGTTCGCTCGGCCCTGATTGCAGCATCACTGGTTTGCATTGTAATAAGCGGTAGAACATGAAATATTTGTGTAAATTAAAAAATCGGTAGAAAATAAGTTTAATAAAGAAATTAAGTTGTAACACCAGTAGAGATTTTAGTGAATACATTCTTGTTTATTTACCAATCAAGTGACCTCTCATTTCCGGATTTCCCTATGCGTTATATTTAGACGGTTTGGCTAGGAATCCTTCAATATCACCTGTCCAAACTTATCAGAGGAGAGATATTTTGATGCTAACAGTAAGTTCGAAATTCATTGTAATGAGTTTTTGAAAGATATAGAACAGCCAGAAATTTTACAACTTGGGCGGAATATCCTTTTAACAACTTCCCCATGTCTCCGAGTTTTGAAGAAAATTCATTTATTGTGTAAAGAAAAAGACCATCGAAATGAAATAATGTTCTGTTTATTTTCGTGTTTACAACTGTCCTGTATCCTTAATGTCTGCAATAATTGTATTGTTACCTAATATATTCCATAATGTACTGCATTTAACATAATTTGCGCACATTTTTATCTATTTTATTTGTATGTATCATTTTTGTATTTGAATTTGTTTCTGTATTGATATAGCTTTCAAGTATGTTGTTCAGATAACCTGTGTAAACCCTGTATATTTCTAGTCCCTCCTACTATACACTGTATGACTTTGTAAACTGCTGGCGTGGAATGTTGTACACATTGTTTAACGATATTTCAATGTATAAATGTCTCATATTTGTCATTTAATACAACAGACTCATCATCTTGTCACAGCATATTATCACGTAATTATCAGTACATCTATTTGGCACGAGGTGCAATCATGTCGTACATGTACCACTGCTTTCTCTAATGCAGTCATGTAATATCATATAAACCTTCTATACATCAGTCGGCCACCCTCTAGTACATCCATAATCCATAGCAAATATATTGTCTCACTACTCATATATTTCTTCATTCATGTCACGCCATAAATTCACATGATCCACGCATTACACATTTATGACATAATTTTATTTTAGCCGAACACAACTAAATTGTATCTTTACTAAGTAAACGATTCATACTAGTAGTACTTCAAAAAAGTTTTGATCCTTGATCGATTTTCCAGTTTTATAAAACATAAATGTTTGCAATTTGTGAGGTTTTTTAATTATGTTAAAAAAAAGGTCATACTAGTAGTAATATTGTACAAATAAAACCGTGAAAATTGCAGTAATCTTTTGATCGTACAGTAATTTACAAGTTTTATAAAACCATCAGGGTTGCTATTTCTATCTTAACTTTTTATCTGTCTTATGCGTTTGTGTGTGTTTTGATGTGGATGTGTTTTGATATATCCTGCTTCCCTAACTATACGGCGCATTTATAAAAAGATGATATCTTTAATTGTACTCCAATGTGAATGTAGACTGGCAATACTGTTTTGTGTTGTGAATGCCAGTAATAACAGAAGAAATTAGAGAGACAACATAATTGAAAATATTAGCTTATTTCATTTTCTTTACATTTTGTATCTCTGCTCTTTGACCAGATCGAGCCTGATTTCCCTCCAGACACTGCAGGACTCACCTGGTGTGAGAGATTAGAACTTCTTCGAGCAGTCAACAAGCGACCGGAAAAAGTGAAACCAAAAGCGCCAAGGATACGATTCTTTAAGGACCCTCCTAAAGAAAATCATGACGCGTCTGCCCCTCTCATGGCACAGTCTACCCGTGCCCATCTGTACGAACAAAGACGAATGAAACATCTTCTTGAACAGGCTAAAGTCAAAGGCACTGATCAGTTTGAATGGTTAACTGACAGCGTCCGGTTTCGAGGAGTGTCTTCAGATATTTCTGATTCTTCTGACGATGACTCGGATGATATGTGTAGCGCTGGTGGTTCATCGGGTTCTAGATGCACATCCACTAAACCATACGGACCAGGTATGGATGTGCACAATGCAGAGAGCGCATTGCTACAACGGTATAATATGCCGTTGGCGAAAGGCGGCGGATGGAAAATGACCCCGTATCCTGTTGTCATACGTTCTCGCACTACCCTGTTTCAGAGCTAAAACCAGATCATGTGATTTGTGTATGTGACGAACGATGATGTTTGTGTTGATAAACGTTAGTGTGGATTTCATCATCTTGTAATAGGGCGTTGGGAAAATGTAGCATAACCAGAATAAACAGGCCTATTAACAGCCTGTATTGTGATTGTTTGTTTAACAATATGTTCTTACCTTCTTGCACATAATTACCTTTACCAGAATTTTCCAATCATTATTTACAATGTAATAGATTGTCAATGTTTGCATCGTAAAAAGTGTTTGATTATGATTATGAATGATTAGATTATATAAACAGAATTTGTATACATTTGTACTTCTCTTATTATCCAATGCTACGTTTTATTTAGAATAAGTTTTTTTTCATTAAACTGGATGATTGTTGAAATTTTCAAATAAGATACATGTCTTTTTACATGATGAAAGTTACTTACTGATAACTACTGGTTTTTATATTGTCGAACTAGAAATTCCTTATGATGCACAGATCAAATCAGGTGCTACTACTCCTGTCCTTTTATGATGTTGAAAAGTGTTTTGTGAATTGCTTGTGATCAGCTGTTAATTTAGACATTTTTTTTTATAACACATATGCCTTTGTCAAAGAATCGTACATTGCCAAAATACAGTTTTGAGTAATCGAGTACACATTTACGTATTTGCTAAACATGTTAACCTCTGTCTGATATGATCGTCATTTCAATTTTTATTTGTTAACAGAAACATACAAATCTGAAGACGAAAATAACCCTGATAAAATTATTTGTTATAACGCACATTTAAAATGCAACTGCATTGCCAAAATATTCATGTCTCAACATAAATTGAATATTGTTCTTACTTTTTAATTTGTCGAAAAAGATTAATATAAGAAATGAACGCTGTTTGTATACAAATTTAAATTGATATATACTTTAGCCAAACTTTAATACCAGTGCCCAGAACTTTATCTTATTGCCAAATACACGTATATCTTGTGTTAATAGTATCTTTCCCTTGATATTTTGTCTATTGTATCAGACATTTTTATGCATTTAACAGAGGTAATTTTGTAATGTTAATTCACTATTTATTTGAGTATGTGTATTACATGAAGAGGAATACTGGGTATTGCTTCTGATTTAACAAATACAGAATGTATCTTCATTGGAATGAATACTTGGGTAATGTTCGGAGGAATATGTGTTAACACGCCTGTTTATTATGTGTTGATATGTCATTTAATGCATGAAACAGTTACTGTAAATTCTTTTTACCCACTGCATTCCAATAGCGTCTGTGATAATTATCAAACCAATAAAAGCATGGTACCAAAACCTTTTTTTATGATTTGTATTCTTGTGAACACACAATGTCTGACATGACAGTGAAGTAAGTAGACACTCGTCAAGTCATGAAACTATCTACGGCACTTCCAAAATTTTAAAACTTTAGTCAACATTAATCAAGCGCCTAAAGACAGTCAGAAACATTTACTGTGCTCGGTTGGAGGAAAATTGATAAAATCACGTCGTTTCCTAAACAGGTGGATATTTTAGTGGTGAGAAATTGGCATATTTTTGTACCCTTGCGTCAACAAATACTTCCGCGAGAGGTCAAGCATACAAGTACGTTTAAGCTGCCAAATACTTAGTTTTAAAAAAGAAAGTAATGAGGTATAAAATGCCAGCTTGATTAAACTTATACGCCCTGCAGTTTTTTAAACTGGGCAATTCTATTTGAGTTTCATCAGTTGAGAGTATAGGTAAATAGGGTACAATTATATGTAAGTAAAATATCTAATTCAACTCAAAATCTATTAAATAAGGAAAAACTACTAATACACAAAGACTTAAAAAAAAACAAAGGAAAATAAGACGAGGTCTTCGAGTGATAAATGTCTTCTTTACGTCCACAGTGCTAAGTCAATATAATTAAGTAATGTAACATCGTCAGATGAAATGTGACTGGTACCGAACACATCTACATGGTAACTCCATATTGCTCAAGGAATTTACATTTTCATGATCTCGATGACTATTTTGAAACTCCAAAATGTTACTACGAACATGCCCAAGAGTATCGAATCAACTGGTTCACTGCATGGTGTGAATTTTATTAACAGAAATTTGAGATTTCTTATGTATCCCATTCAAAACCAACTACTGAATTAGCCCATCTCGCCGGAAAATTCGTAAGGCTAAGTCATGCCGCTTCCATCTCGCCGGAAAATTCGTAAGGCTAAGTCATGCCGCTTCCATCTCGCCGGAAAATTCGAAAGGCTAAGTCATGCCGCTACCATCTCGCCGGGAAATTCGTGAGGCTAAGTCATGCCGCTTCCATCTCGCCGGAAAATTCGTAAGGCTAAGTCATGCCGCTACCATCTCGCCGGAAAATTCGTAAGGCTAAGTCATGCCGCTACCATCTCGCCGGAAAATTCGTAAGGCTTAGTCATGCCGCTTCGCTGAATTTACTTTTCAATATACCAATTACACCTATGCGTTGATACTGGTATACATGTAGAGTGTTCGAAAGATTAAAGGTGAAGGAAGTTAAGTTTATGCAAGATTTCTGGACAAGTTTACTTCAACAACCTTTCGTTGGAAGGCAATTAAATAGCTTTTCAATTATAAAGCTTTCCCTACATTTGGGCGTACGCCAAACTTAAAGACAAAAAAGTAAAATATAGAGAGATTTGGGCGGTAAAAACAAACTTGCTCACAAGTAAAAAAAATCAAGTTAAGTGTCGGTTCTCACGATTATATAAGTTGCAGATCCACATGGTTTATGTGTCTTATATTCTTTATGTCAACTTGCCAAGTATTTGGTCAAGCTCATTTATTGATCGAACTGTCTTGGTAGACATCGAAATTGTTCTTGTTTTGGAATTTCTGCACTTGATTCCTATGGAACATGACACGTTATTTTTCGAAAACAAAAATCGGCATTTGGATACCTGGACTAATTAAACAAACACGGCTGCCAAATTGTTAGTTGTGAAACTATCTTGATGTTTTGCCCAGTGTCATGGCTGAATTAGATTATTTTTAAACCTTTCTACACTCTTACGCATATATTGTTTCCTCTTTCCGTCCTAATTTGATGTCCGCTTTAGAGATATCGGTCAATGAAGGTCTGTGTTCTGTGGTGTAAAGTTGTATCATTGAGATGATGCGGATCAAGTTCTGTTACATACCGATCACCTTACTGTTTTCCAAAAGGTGTGGCTCTCCCGTAAACGCATGAACATGAGCATAAAAACCGCTGTACCGGCGATTACACCAAGACTTACAAACATACGTCACTGATCTTTTTATCTGCGTTTGCCCTCACCTCTTTGAACACCACATCTATTTTTAACATGCACATCCACCGTCTCTGATACACTAAATCCTGTAGTCCCTATTTATCTTGATAATAAAATATTATTTTTGTATTAATTCGTATATTTTGGTATGTAATAAATCATATCTCTCTGTCTTCTCGAATAACGCAGATGTAAGTAATTAAAAAATGTCGACATATGTGGAAAGTCGGAGACTCCCCCTCATTTGCACACGGCACCATAAAATAACTAACTTCTGGAGTCGTGTGAAAAGTTCACTCTCACAACAGCTATCGTTCAAATAACAGTCCAAATCTTCTTCAAAAATGCCTCCTAAATTCGTAAGTATATATTTTCATATTTTATAAAATGAACAAGTGCACGTGGTGTAAAATAGCAGATTTTCTCTACTCTTCCGTTTCATCGTCAATTAATTAAGAGAGATATAGGCTAATTTGTTACGATAGAGATGCTCATATCTGCCTGTGTATACATATTGTTTATGTAACCTTTCGAAAGTTGGCAGAAGTTATCTAAAAATGGGACCAAACAAGCGTTTTAGTGTATGGATATTGATGGAATCACTAGTGTTTACGTTTTCTCGTTTTCAAGTTTGACCTTGTTGAACTTTGAACGACTTTTCACTGACTCGTCAATCATATTAGTTGACGTAATCTGAATTTGATTTAAATTTCACACAAGTAGGACACGATGACTGAAGGCACACTTTAACAAAGAGTACTTCTTGCAGATTGTGACAAAGAAAAAATATGAATATGTTGAATATTGATCTGTAAATTGTGTGATTTAGTCTAAGGGCTGTATAATACGCTAAGGGAAACTTTTGTTATTTTTACTTAATATAACCAGAGTGATATAACAGGTATTTTATGTACCCTAGTATGCTTCCAAGCCTTTTATTAAATTGACATTCTGCTGTTTATAGTGACGTATGCTATGTTATGTTGTGTCGTTAAATTGATTTAAACTCACAAATGTTCACATCGTTACAAAGTATAAAATAATCTTGTTTACATTTCACTCAATCAATCGTTGCAACAATAGCACAACAATGGATGTATACATTGTTACATGCAAAATCACAATGTATATACACATAGTTTCAATACTTATTGGTGTTAGTATATATATACAAAGGAATGTGTTCCTTATCATCTCAATGCTATGTGTTTAGTCTCTTTAATGCAAGTGCCCCCCGTATAAACAATTACACTGGACGATAAGAGTCCGTGTACATGTATTTACACGAACAAGGAGGCTCTTGACCTAGCTAACACGCTCAATTAACACACGAGAGTATATGAATTAACCTGTCAGAGGAAATGCTTGTCAAAGTTGTCAATCAAGTATTAATGTTCCCTGTGTGTTAGTTCATACATCACCGATTGGTAGTTAATGATAATCTTAATACATATGGATTACGTGTGATTTTATGATACATAGTTCTTCAATGCTGCACACATTACAGATTCACTAATATTAGAAAGTTATGATATCTTGATAGTCGTAATTAAAACCAATCTCGACCTCATCATCCGCCATTAAAGCTAGACAACATCGCTTTAATAAACGAACGTTGAACAAATGAAAGTTCAATGTGTTCACGGAATAGAATACTTTTATTAAGTGATGCTAATACACGTTGATGTATAAATTATTTAAGTAAAATGTACAACAATCGTTATTGTTTAACAAAACACGCAAAATTAGTTCCATGGTTTGACGATCAGAATGGCGTCTCTATCCAAATGGATAACCTTTAACAAACCGTACTGGCACAATCAACGATAATTCGCTGAAGATAGCGCTCGCAAAGTGTGTTCTCGTCCTAAAATGTTTCAATTTCTTATGAATAACAAATTTCTTAAACACCAATATAAGGGGGAAAATGCAGTTATAACAAGTCTGAGGCATCATGTTGATAAAAATGCTGAATTTGAACAATAACATAGTGAATCTGTCTTGAAAATATCTTAAAATCCGGAGAGACGATAAAAAGATAAATAAGTTTGAACCTATTCTCAAACAAAATCATTCTAGAAATGACTTCATCAATGAAATTGACTCATCGGTGTAATGATGACAATTAATGTAGGATCGAACGTCACACCAAATGAGTTGCATCCATTCCTGGATTATTTCCAAATATGCAATTTAATAAATTGAATATGTCGCTCTTATTCTTTATCAACATTTAAAGGTGTTATTTGTGTACAGTACTTTGATTAATCTAATAAAAAATATTTATATTTCACACCAGGAAGAACTTTCAGAAGACAAGTAGAAAAATAGTGAGTTGTACATTATATTGTATCTATCGTAACTCAGAGTAAACTTGTAAACTATCACGGAAGTTTTCAGTAGAAACAAACAAAATTCCATGAGGATGATGATGGGTTACCAGAGAATATAAATGCACTTAAACTTGACATAAACACTCCCGGAACAGCCTTGTGGTTATTTTTCTCCATGTAGATCTATTCGATAATATTTTACGCTACAAACGCCAGCCATATTCGTGTACCGCCCACAGAGAGAATTCTTCACCGCGCCCAGGGTTAGTTTCGAGATCGGGAGGGATATATTTGGAATATGAGAGAGGAGACACGAAGTTCACAATGCTTCCTAAAGTATTAACGAAACAGTGAGTTTCCTTAACTCGTTTATAAGATAAACTATAACATGTCGGACTTGACCAATGCAACAATCCAGTGCTGTGTTGTACTCCACGTTTTCTGTTATCGTCTGTTACCCGTATGTTTATCAATGAGATTGGAGCTCTCTTACGCTTCCTCCACACAAAGTGAAAACTGATACAGACACGTCATGTTTTCCTTCAGCAGAGCCAATGGTATTTACTGACTGCCAGAACAGCGGGCATGATATAAACTACGGTCTGCACTCTGTACTATTATCATTTCATCTTGTTTATGCTGGTCCCAGTCTCTAGAACCATTAACTCATACAGGACCATGAACATTGGAGTTCAACCAAAACCGTCACTAGCTCCAGGATTTAGTAAAGTGGTCACACAAGGACAATTTTTAAAGGATTTGTTACTTACCTGACCTTAGCAATCAAGAGAACAAAAACGAGTTATTGGGACGGGAAAAGCATGGAGGAAAATGTGAGATAAAACAGCGGAGACTGGAAAATTTTAATGGATCACATTTGCAACAAGTCATAGCACTAGTTCAGATTCAATAACGAAATATATTCATTAAAAATTGTGTTAAGGATTAAAGTTTATTATGTAAGGACTTAATAATGTTATTTTTATGCCCTAATCGAAATGATTTAATTTGCTATACGCCAGTTAGATAGATATAAAAAAAACATCTTAAATAGATAGTAATGTCCTAGTCAATAAAAGAAACACTGGTTTGTCCTGTTCATCGTGAAATGTTCAATAACATCTTAAACACCGAATATAGAAATATGTACAGAGATTGGAGAAAAAAAAACCTGTTGAGGAATTACCTTATTCGTTTACGCATGTAATTGGGTTAACAGTTTGTTTTTATATGGTGTGTGTTTTCTTTCTTTTTGGGATGAGGGGGTACTTTACTTGAGATAATGATCAACAACGCGGCAGACTTGGGTTCAGTCTTTTCCTCCTGGCCTGTGGCAAACCCATGGTAAGTTCGTGGCACCCCTTGGGTTCAATCTTTTCGTCTTGGCCTCCGGCAAACCCGTTGTAAGTTCGTGGCACCCATTCGGTTCAATCTTTCCCTCCTCGCCTCTTACAAGCCCGTTATATATTCGTGGCACCCATTCGGTTCAATCTTTTCCTCTTAGCCTCTGACAAACCCGTTGTTAGTTTGTGGCACGCACATGGAAAAGTCATTACACAAAACTACGTGCTTTCACAAACATAGAATTTCTAGACTCCTAAACTATGAATACAGGAAACCTTTCGATGATACATACACATGAAAGGTAGAATATATTTAGACGTGTTCCTTTACAGATAACATAGCTTGCTAATTAATCATTTCCGCGAGGGAAGCGCGCACTCTCGTGTGTTGGTCTTGATTGTATTAGGTTGTGTTAAGACACTGTAAAACGTACTGTACACTAACCATAAGTTACATCTATATATATATTTTATAAAACAGTGACTCAAGGAAATATTGTGATACTGAACAACTGTTTCAATCACAAATAGTAATAGTTTTTCTGATGACTAATTGAGTTATAGTTCAGAATACTTACAACTAAAACACGCTTGATTGATGCTAGCCATGAACTTAGAAACAAATACATCAATGATATTTTCATTTCCTAACAACCAGAACATGGTTTTAGATACTATTCTGTGGTACTACAAAATAGACCTCCCTAGTTGTTTTCATGAAAGTCGTTCACAGCCAACGCCCTGTAATTGAATTGCGCATTATTTCTTGGAGTGTATCTGTTTACGACTAGTACACCTGAATTCACTTAAGACTGGTAGTTTGGTATTTTTGTCACTAATATACAAATGTGAGAAATGGTATTGTTAATTCTGGGCGTGTATTTTCCTGGGGATATCTACAGCCCTGTTATCAGGCTTCCTATCAAATTCATTTACTGGTAACTCCCGAGTTGTACGTCATTAAGATAGTCGACCAATGTTCTATTAATTAAGGGTTCTGGCAGGCTGTTCAAACATCAATATCCGACAACACGGATAGGTCACGTACACTTGTGTGTCTATACTTATATTATGTAATCCAAACATGCATCAGCTGAAGGATTTAACATGCAAGTGTGGATAGTAATGGTGCGTGTAATAGTGCCTCTATAATGGCACAGAACAGGAACTTTGTGTGATAAGAATTAAGCTCTGGAGCCAGAGTTTTTAACATTAACAGATTGCATCCATTGTATTGTATTTACACGTGAAACACAAACGATAATGTAAAATTAATTCTGATGATCATCATGAAAGCGACTTTAAAACAAAATTAAGCATTACGATCTCCGCAGAATTAAACACTTACGATCTCTGCAGAATTAAACACTTACGATCTCTGCAGAATTAAACACTTACAGTCTCTGAGGAATAAAACACTTACGATCTCTGCAGAATCAAACAGTTACGATCTCTGCAATAGTAAACACGATCTCTACAGAATTAAAAACTTATTGTTTCTGCAGAATGAAACATTTGTGATCTCTATAGAATTAAACACTTGTGATATCTACAGAATTAAACACTTGTGATCTCTACAGAATGAAACACTTGTGATATCTACAGAATTAAACACTTGTGATCTCTACAGAATTCAACACTTGTGATATCTACAGAATGAAACACTTGTGATCTCTACAGAATTAAACATTTGTGATCGCTACAGAATTAAATACTAGTGATCTCTACAATATCATACACTTACGGTCTCTACAGTCCCAGTAGCGATGCCGAGATCGTTAGTGATTCGTAAACACTGGGATTTCGAGGATGACATAGACAATACATATATATATATACTAATCTCCACAAATCACCTGTTTAGATGAAGGTAATGCAATTATACTTTCATTGTTACATTACAGATCTTTTGTCTCAAGACACGTTCACACTTAGATGCAGTAATTAGTCAAATTGTAAAATGTTTATATTTTCACAGCAGTGCCACTAAATGATATAAATGAGGTTCTCGTCTGCTGATAGGCCGAAAGGCCGTAGTAGTGAGTGTAAACTCCGATGAATAAATAGATAGATAAATAAATAAATAAATAAATAAAATAAATAAATACACAAAATGAGCCAACCAGACGGGTATGTGATTCCAAGATACAATAACAAGGTAACGGTTCGTCTACACAATGGACGGGTTACTCAGACAATGAAGAGGTCAGCAGCAACATCGGAGGAAATTAAATAAAGTCAAAACTGGGCGGAATGCACATATAAGATATAGAGCAGTATACGAGATGTGATTTTATGCCAATTTTATACCAGGCATACAGAACATATTTTGATCGTCCTCGTTAAGGTAACCGATATCACGAGTAACGACATTGTTGCCACGGATTGTTGAAAAGAACTGTTTTTTGTAAACCATTTACGTCAGTATGTAACCCTGGTAAACACTAACCGCAATATACCACTCAGATAGAGAGACCTTCTCTATAGCACGATCGAGCGTCAGACTAGTAAGTCAGGGACCCGAGTTCGAGTCCTTGCGAAAGCATTGAGATAAATAACGACCTCTTTTACAATATAGGTAATAATTAATCTCGTAATCAGATAGTGTAAGGATGTAGAAAGGCATAGTGATCTGTAGTGTATGATAATATATAGCCATTTGTCGTTGTAGGGTGGAGCCGAGAAGTGTGGTATTTGCGGAAAGTCTGTGTATGCTAACGAAAGAATTGAAGCTGGCGGAGTGCCATTCCACAAGTTCTGCTTTAAATGCAGTGAATGCAAAATGCAACTGAAGTAAGTACCAAAGTTTTGAAAGCTTAGATTAGACATTGATGTTTAGCTATGTTCAACGCGACTTCAACCTAGTATGTTTAATGATAAACATGTGTGTGGCATTGATGCTAAATGGTGTAATTTTTGTTTTTCAAATTATAAGAACTGTTTACAAACAAATTTGTAATTCAGGCACGAATGTGATTTTGCTGTATTAAAAACGTACGTTGGCGATTCTATATCTTATCCAATTCGTTTGAAATTTTGCTATTTACTTTTGTTTTTTGTTGTTGTTTTTTTACAATCTACTAATATTGTGTATTCGTATATGTAAGATTTTATATGATATTGAAAAATGTAAAAGAAATGAGTTACATTTTACCTGTAATCGCCAATTGTCTACTTGTGCTTTGAAATCGAACGCGTTCAAAAGAATTAGATATTTAACTAATGATGGTTTTTTTTCAGCTTAAACAACTATGCACAAGAAGCAAAGACGCTATATTGCAAGAACCATTTCGCCTCATGCGTGACGGCAAGGAACACCCAGGCGCCGGTGTTCTAGCGGTTGGATCGGCGGACAGAGGAATAGGAGGTCACTTTAAACTGCATTTCCCGTCCAGATCTTCTTCCCTTACAACTTACCCTGAGAGCGCTGTAGATTAATTCATCATGCACACACAATACACACATGTGGTATTTAGTAAATACGGAAAGAGTTCGTGAATGTAAATGATAAAAGCAGAGAATGTGGAAGAGGTTTTCGTTGATTTTAGTCGTTCATTTATGCTTTTTTAGGATATAATAAACTTCTCTCATACTTCTCCTGAGTTATCCCTGCCATAACACGCCTTTTATATCGCACTAATCAGACCTAGAACGACTTTCTGATGTTTTCATTTGTGTCCTTGTTTCTGTTCATCTTTTTACCTGCAAGTCAATATTGAGTGATACCTAAAAATCACACGCCGCTGAAAGATTCGAACATGACACCAATGTTTTTGACGATATACCAGTAAGCAATACTTGAATTTTACATTGGTATAATTAAGTTGTATATTTCTGTTATCACAAATCATTTTGACCCTTTACCTCGCAACTGCCTTTCAAATCTGCATAAGGGAGATAACCCGAATGTGTTCAACGTTTTGATCAGATTATCGCTGTTAGCGTCACTAATGGTAGGGGTTGGAGGGAGATAACTCTAACATTTCATTGTAGTTGGAAGTTATGTAGTGTTTTTATTGATTTTGTTGAGAGTGTGTCAATACTTATTTATGTCATGTTATGTTTCAATAAACATTTTCACAAATTATTTTCGTGTATTTCTTTTACTGTGTCCTGTGTTGAATATGAAGGGGTTGAAAATTTGTCTCATTTTAAGGCAGTACACCACAGGGACTTGGCACGAAGTCCCAACCAATGGTCCCAACCCACGGTTCATATATATGTAGTACAGTGACACAGGGACTTGGCACAAAGTTCCAATATGTAGTATTGTGACACAGGGACTTGGCACAAAGTTCCAATATGTAGTATAGTGACACAGGGACTTGACACAAAGTTCCAATATGTAGTATAGTGACACAGGAACTTGGCACAAAGTTCCAATATGTAGTATAGTGACACAGGAACTTGGCACAAAGTCCCAACCCATGGTCCATATATATATTGCCTGATATCACACTCACCTTTACAAAGAGGCCAGAAAAACAATAACATAAGTTGTTGCTACTGTTACTGTTTTCATCAATGAAAGCTCCATGCTCAATGCTTGAAATACGAGACAACATGTTTGTCACTGGGGTAATAATAGTAAACAAAGATATCAACATGTAAACAACAAACTGGAAAAAAATGATCTCGGAACAAGAAAATATATACCATCCGGGATATCATATTGGCTTCTGAAACCATCCTAACAATATATTCTAATAAGGATGTGAAGATGGTCACGTAAGGGACGAGAACTTGTATAGTCACGTGACCATTACCTCCATGTGCAGTATATATTTTATTAAGGTCAACATGTTTGTGACAGAAAAAACACTCGTTGCTCACAGGACGTATGGATAGCATGGCATTTATCTAATACACAACGAGAAAATAGATTAAGAAATTTGTGTGTTTTAAGAGAAATTGGCGACGAATTTCATTATTTGTATAATTGTACTCAACAGTCAATATTTAATAGTTGAAACTAATTCATATCCAGGTAGTATGGATTTAAATTTTATACTTTATTCTGTTGTGTAACACAACGAGAGTTGGTTTCATTGACTAAAATCATTACTGATATTGACGAGAAAATTAATTCACAATAGTAACGTCATTGCTGTCTAGCGATGTGTCAGAAATTTATTTATTCTCAACACTTCGAAGTTTATGAGTATAAAGCAATTATCATTGTCCTTGTCACTGAGTTCATCCCAGCCGTCAGAACTGTCGTGTAGACACTTCCAAGTACACGTGCTGTATTGTGATTGGTGTATGTGTATGTGATAAGAATGTATATTGATTGTACATGTAGTCAATGGTTGACCCCAGATCAGACGGATTCGCTACATCAGCGGTCTTCAAAGTTTACGAGACTGTGTTATGTATTTTAATCAGGATGTAGATACATTTTAATTGCAATTTTCCACGTCGACAGACATACATTAAGCGGTTTGACAATTGTCAGTGTGTGTTTGCCATTTAGACAATACGCACGAGACATGGTGATGAATCACCACAAGGTCACGGGGTCACAAGGTCACGGACGAGATGTTTTCACACTTGGTATAACCACCATCACCTGGTCTTCTCGTTCCTCAACAAATCACTGCCTTTGACACAACAGGAGTAGTGTCTGTAACGGTAGATAGAATTCAGACTACACGTGTATATATCAACGTGACTTGATAGAACACGTGACAATATTTTGAATGTTTTAAACTTGTCTAACATTTCAGTCTAATAACTACATGAACTCAAAGAAAACACAGGCTTTGTTATGAAGACATTTTAAAGACAAATTACCATGTGTTCGACGCAAGAAGCCTTTTTGTTGAAATGTTTTCAGAACTTCGAATAATTTTCAAGGTCGTTACCGATTTTGTATACAATTTTAATGACCGACGAGACTGTACTCTACACCTATCGTAGGCAAATTGTAGGCGGTGTTGGAAAAAAACAAGGTGTACTAGGGTTAACCTACACATCTTATAAAAGTGCTGGTGTTATGTTTAACAGTCTCTAAACATCAAGAAATAGTACAAATATAAAACAGCAACTTGGGAAGACAGTTTGACGAAACGACCCCACGGTTTATTGTAGCATAAACGGAACTGAATGGTTAAATCTTAGATGCTGTTGATAACAATGTATTTCACGGTGAACATATTAATCACAAATATACCATCTCAGAATATTAGCTGCAAACTATTCTGATATCTGTCACAGACTATTCTATTCTAAGTCGTTAATATCCGTCACAGACTATTCTATTCTAAGTCGTTAATATCCGTCACAGACTATTCTATTCTAAGTCGTTAATGTTGTTTGATATCTGTCACAGACTATTCTATTCTAAGTCGTTAATATCTGTCACAGACTATTCTATTCTAAGTCGTTAATATCCGTCACAGACTATTCTATTCTAAGTCGTTAATGTTGTTTGATATCCGTCACGGACTATTCTATTCTAAGTCGTTAATGTTGTCTGATATCCGTCACGGACTATTCTATTCTAAGTCGTTAATGTTGTTTGATATCTGTCACAGACTATTCTATTCTAAGTCGTTAATGTTGTTTGATATCCGTCACAGACTATTCTATTCTAAGTCGTTAATGTTGTTTGATATCTGTCACAGACTATTCTATTCTAAGTCGTTAATATCTGTCACAGACTATTCTAAGTCGTTAATGTTGTTTGATATCTGTCACAGACTATTCTATTCTAAGTCGTTAATATCCGTCACAGACTATTCTATTCTAAGTCGTTAATGTTGTTTGATATCTGTCACAGACTATTCTATTCTAAGTCGTTAATGTTGTTTGATATCTGTCACAGACTATTCTATTCTAAGTAGTTAATATCAGTCACAGACTATTCTATTCTAAGTCGTTAATATCCGTCACAGACTATTCTATTCTAAGTCGTTAATATCCGTCACAGACTATTCTATTCTAAGTCGTTAATATCCGTCACAGACTATTCTATTCTAAGTCGTTAATGTTGTTTGATATCTGTCACACACTATTCTATTCTAAGCAGTTAATATCTGTCACAGACTATTCTATTCTAAGTAGTTAATATCAGTCACAAACTATTCTATTCTAACTCCTTAATGTTCTTTGATATAAACCTTGTCATATTTTTGAGGACATAACATTACATTTAGTTTGCTTAGCGACAGGGTAGGGTTGTATTATTAGGAGATTCCCCCGAAGTAATTATGCCATCTTATCATTCATCGATGCATACGAATATCATACTGTTTTCACCGGGAACAGGAAGGGGCGTGATCAGCTAGGCTAGGAGCGGTAACGTTATTTCGTGGTTTTACACATAATATACTATCTATGAAAGTAAAACACAACAGTAGTAATCATTGTATATACAAAAGTGCGTCACAATTAAAACCACGACGGATAAGGTACTCTTTCCTGCTACAGTCTTTGGACCTAATGAAACACACCCAAGGAACCCTAACTTAAAGGGATCTATTTACACGAGTGAATTCGAAGGACCGATGAGACATGCTTGGGTTCAATTTTGTGTGAACAATGCATCTAACCCCCTTTTGGAGGAGGGACAGGGCCTACTAAGAGAAATAGATAGAAGTGTTTTAGATATCTTTTTCTTTAGTTTCAATTAATCAATTTCAACAAACTAAACCACGTGAGCGATACAGGACCTATGGGCCTCTTGTTTCAAAATTGATGAAGTCCATATAACTTAATATTTCGTTTCAAAATGTTGATATATGGGCTCTCAAAACAAATAAGTTTTCTGTCAGACCCATCTATACCGGTCGTTTAACAATTACACATTTATTAAAGATTTCGAATCTTGTTGAAAATCTTTTGAATGAATATGGGATCCCAATGTGTGCAAAAATAATGACGTTTTATCGTATTGAAAAAAAAGCAGTTACGAAACATTTCCGCAACTTCTGTATATCAATTAGCTGTGGGGTCTCACAAAGGACATCGATTAAGAGTTTTGGCAACCTTTGCCTCGAGCCATTGTGGTATACGTGACATGAAACAGAAGATGACAAGCGACCTAACCATAGTTTTTCGACAAGTACAGCACCTTGTAATTAGTGGAGGAAAATCAACCGATAGGACGGACGGGCTGCCGGCGGTAGTGTCACGGGGAAGTTACCATCATGTCCACTCTTTTGTCGTCTTTGCTCGTAAGTTTTGATTTCTAAAATTTCCACGTATAATTAAAATATCGATTTATTATTATTTATTTCTAGTATTTTAAAATACAATATTTTTTTATTTCCAGTTTACCTGTGTCGTTTTGCTGAAACTACAAAATACATGTAATATCAATGAGACTTTGCTTTGCTATTTTTTTTTTTTTTTTAACTTTGTAATAAATTATTTTGCTGTTTTCATGGAAGAATTTTCTCGGAAATTTGTGAATCAATCGTGAAGGAAAATTTGTACAGTTAAAAGACAAAAAACTATAACTAAATCAGTGAGTATAGTGGTACACACAGCGATCAGACCAATGTTTATAGAGAGGAATATTTGACATGCATGTCTTTGTGACTCTTGGTTTGATTTTAGATGTGTTTACTGATTGGAAGCGTCCATATGTTCCATACTCAGGATAACCCTGCCAGCGTCGCCCGCGTGTGTACGGTACGTAAAAGATTTAACGAAAATTTAACCAAAATCGATCTCACGGGCAAATATTTCCTTTTGCAATGTGAGACTGGAATCGTTTGACATTATCAGCATGCCTGGTCGTTCTATTGTTATCGACATCGTTCTCATTCTTGAACGAGACACTACCTTCTTCGATTGACCAAGGTTTACGAGGTGTGTGTGTCACCAGTACTTTTTCAACTTAATTTTGTGTTGTTATCACTTCAAAACATACTAAAATCGCCCATGATTAAGACAGCAACCTGAATAATTAGAACCAGACAGGATTTTTTATTTCTAACAAATCACCAACTGAGATCAGTTTACATGGTTGTCACGATTTATTACCAATGCTTTGTATGTGATTTACGTAAAATGCTGTTAAGCAAATGACATACAATTATTGAAAGAAATAGTTTTGTACTAAATGATGTCCAGGAAAGC